AAGGAACTTTCTCTCGAAGAACAATTTGAGAGTTAAAGTCCCAGGAACTTTCTTACAGAGAATGAAAAAGGTACAATTCTTCTGTGAACTGTCTCGTAGCGTTCCATGACTTTGAAATATTTGAATATTAAAGTTAATCAAAAAGAACTGAAAGAGATTTATGCAAGTAAAGTTAACGAACTTTTCTTTCACAGAAAATAAAAATTGTTCTATAAATGGACAGTTTCGCCATAATGATAAACGATCTGGAAGTTAAAATGATCCAGCTTTCCTCTGGCGTTAATTCTAAGCCCGTGGTTCTCACTGAAAAAACTTTTCCTCCGAACACGCAGACGCCCCTCTCATTCTTAACGTTGAGTTTTCAAAACTGTTGTTCTCGCCTTGTTTTCTAGCAGGGCGTTCCCCAGACTTTTGTTCTTTTTTTCTTTTGTGTTCTGGTTTTCGCTTTGTGTGTTTCGGCTCACCCTGGTGTTGATTTTTGTCAAGTAGTTACTTTTTATCATTAATAGGACATACATGGCGTATGAGTAACATTCTTACCTAGTCATCTACCATAATTCAATAACACAAGGTTAGATAATTATTGACAGCCGCGGTTTGACATTCCCTTACAAAGGGTTGCATTTACGATGAACAGAGAAAGGGGAGGAATGCAATCCCTTGTTGCGAAAATGGTAGTAGAAAAGTACACAAAGTAGGCAATTAGTAGTGAAATTCCTTTTGTAAATTCTAATGCATTTGCAGGAAATCTAGCATTTTAAATTAAATATTGAACGAAATATCAATATATCTACGTAAATTACGTAATTTATGTGCTATTTAGCTGTATAAAAACTGCAAAAGGACTCAAAATTAAAATAAAACTACTATATGTGAGATTTATGTAAACATCCAATTTAAAAACTATTTATGTTTTCATCAGTTAAATGTGCTTCATATGCATATACAAAACATGTTGCACAAAAGCGTATACTTCTATTTCACAGCAAAGCTACACTTTTTCCAAGTAAATTTGCAAAGAAGCAACACGGTGCCACTGCTAAGGGAGCGGTGCGAGAGAGACAACTGTCTGTTTATCGAACCTTGTATTATTGAATCATGGTCATCTACTATATATAAATGTGAATGTCTGTTTGTTTATTACCTCATAACTTTTGAACCGCGACACGGAATCGCACGAAACTTTGCATACTTATTTGTTTTTATCCCGGGAAGTTTATAGGCATAGAGAAAAATCGGTACTAACTAAAATTCTCATGTTGTATATCTCTTGAAATATTGTGCTAGAGCATTGGAACTTGCTGTCGAGATAAATAAAACTAATTCCATCCCCATGGGAAAATATGGCGGCATCGGAAAGGGGGGCGTGGCGTGAAATATTTAATCAGCTATAACTTCGGAACCATAAGTCACATAAACGTGAAACTTGGTATGCAGACATATCTATGGTACATAGGTGCTTATAGTAGGTTATACATAAATTCGTTTGTAAAAGGGGGCGTGGCACATTTCATAGGCGTGGAATTTTTAATCAGCCATAACTTCGGAACGATAAGTCACATGAACTTGAAATTTGGTATGCAGACATACCTATGGTAGGTGCTTATAGTAAGGGCGTTGATCATCTCATAGGCGTGGAATTTTTAATCAGCCATAACTTCTAAAATGTCACATAAACTTGAAATTTGGTGTGCAGACATATCTATGTTACTTAGGTGCTTATAGTAAGGTATGTTTATATAAATGAGTTTGTAAAAGGGGGCGTAGCGCATAACACAGGCGCGGAATTTTGTATCAGCCATAACTTCGGAACCACAGTTTACATGTCCCCTTTAATTATTTCTGATAAGCCTTTCGAATTTACAGTTACTCAGTTTCCAGTTCGCTTAGCTTTTGCAATGACAATAAACTAGAATCCCTTAAAGCAAAACCCAAAACTTTATCGAAAACAAAATCTATGATAATTGCATTGGAAAATGCATTTATGTTAATAGAGGCTTTGAAGTATTAAAAACATGCTGTGAAATAATATTAGAGTTATTATTCCAAAGAAAATAGATAGCTAAAATTTTAATAGTACAGCATTTCTACTATTACTTACATACATATCGTCGTTTAAAGTGCAAAGCCGCGTAACTGACATTTGCTGCCAAAAACTGGATTTGCACACACAAGCTCTTGGCTAAATTCTTATCCATTCGTCCTAAAATATACTTGCCAGAAATGCGATTGCTGTATAAAAAAAAAGAGAACCATTCTGAAATATGAGTGTTTTTACTATCTATAAAATAATTTATGCAACCTCACATACGGGGTTTTACATTATCTTGATACGCGGTTCTGCATTTTGTTGATACGCGGGTTTGTACTTTAAACGACGATATATTAATTATTGGAGATATTTTAATGTAAATAAAAACACCTGTTGTGCCAAAAAATTATTATTACATTTCATTATATAAGACCCAAGCTATACTTCGGAACCACATTCTCCTATAGTAAAATTAGAGCAGAAATAAAATACATCTTTACATAAATTATTTTTCATCTATATATATAAAACAAAGTCGTGTTAGTTACATCATTTATAACTCAAGAACGACTGGACCGATTTTTATGATATTTGTTTTTTGAATTTGTCTACCTTCCGAATAGCAGAATAACTATTAAAACAACCGCTAGGTGGCGCTGGAGTCGAGTTATGAGTAAAACCCGTATTTATGGTCCGATTCACCTCATATTTGAGATATGTATTGACAATAGGAAAAACAATGCCATTGCAAAAAAAAGAGCCGCCAGGTGGCGTTAGAGTCGATTTATTATTAAAAATCGTGTTTATGGTCCGATTATCCTCAGATTCAAAATATGTATTGATAACAGGAAACAGAATTCTTTCGAAAAAAATTTGCCGCCAGGTGACGCTGAAATCGAGTTACATATGTATATGTAACTAAAAATCGTATTTATGCTCGAATTTATTTCATTATCGAAATATATGAATTCACATATCGATGGTCCTCTGGAATATCGACACAACTCAGAATTCAAAAAATCAAATCCCGTATTACTGTTAGGAGGCTCATGTCTCTGTGTGAAAAATGTATAGTAATTGAGAACGGTTGGGCCAATTTGGCAAAAATTTTTTTTTAATTGTTCTCAATTGCCAGAAGAAGGTTTTTACGAAAGAAAATTTTGGAATGAAAAAATAGAAAATTCTAAGTGGAAAACTCGGGAAAAACCGGAAGAACGCGAAAAATTTCAATTTTTTTCCACGAAAGCTGGGAAAATTTCGGATAATTGTGAAATTCATTAGGGGCATGAATCAAATGGGTACAAGTTTCTCCTATGTTTCATAACCGATTCGAGTGTGTGCTGCTTTTTTGGAAAGGTGTTTAGAAGGAGTGCACAAAGTTTTAATTTTTCGGATAGGTGGCGCAGGGGCCAAGCTACGCTAAAAAAAAATGCATTTGGTATGTTGGTAGCCTTTTGCCTAGATTAGCATATAGGATCGATTGTGCCGTTAAGTGGGCCAGGGAACGACCTATTCGAAAAAGTCTTATTTATGGTCCGATTTGCTTGGAATATGGAACGTACATAGCTTATTGGCTGGGTTTCATATGATAGGTGGACCAGATACCGATCTATTCCAAAAAATCTTATTTACGGTCCGATTTGCTTGAAATTCGGTACCCGTATTATAGATAGATGTAAAATAGAACCGAGTCATTGTTTTACAGTTCGAAAGGTGTTTGTAGGTCGCACAAACATGCAGGTATTGGCTATTTAACAACACTTATTACACAGGCAAACAAAAATCGCAAAAAATTTGATGCAGCAAAGGTTAACGCATTTTTGCCGAATTTTTGTGTGCTGATTACGAATTCGTAAGCGTAAAGTTTCCATCAGCTCCATATTTTAAGAAAAACCAGGTCAAATTGTCAAGAAATCGCTTTTTTTCAATACCTGAGAAGCTCTAGCAAAGAAAAAAGGGTGGTCGAACCTTCCGCTTAGGCCTTGATTAAAGCTAAAAATCTCGAATACTATCCTTGCAAATTCCTGCACCTTTGCTTGATGGTCACTGATAGTCATTTGTTGAACAGGAATAACTGATTTTGGGAAGTTTGAGTACCTACCGCAATTAAGAAGAAGAAGATAGAACCTTCCACTTAGGCTTAAATTAAGGCTTTGACTTCTGACTTTAATCCCCGAAAACACCATTCCTGCAGCTTGACTCTAAGGTTATTTATTGAACAGCTAACACTGATTTTTACACCTTTTTTCAATTGCATAATTTTCCAGTATTTTTTTTTATTGTTGGACAATAAAAAGTAAATGAGTATAGGTGACCATCAGGGCAAGGTGCAGGAATAGTACTTTCAGGGATAGTAGTCTGTAGCTCTAGCTTTAATTTATGCCTAAGTGGGAGGTTCTATCACCTTTTGTTTCATTGCTAGAGCTTCTCAAATATTGCAAAAAACGCGATTTTTTTACACTTTCACCACATTTTTCTCAAAATCTGGAGCTGATGGAAACGTTATACTAACGGATTCTTAATCAGCACAAAACGCCTATCAAAAACAGCTTTAATATTTGCCGCATCAAAATCGGTGTTGCCCTGTGTTACCTACACTAATTATATAAAGAGAAGCTTCTTCTTTTTATTAGAGGAGATCTCGCGAGCGGCTGTAATGATTTGCTGAAATTTTGGACACCTACTGCAGACTTTCGATATATTAATGGAGCGTGGCATCACCCACACTTTTCCATGTCCCGGAATCCTGGGATTACAGCTCCGGGATCCCGAGATTTTTACTGATTTATTTTCATATTTTTACTGATTTATTCACATATTTATCTTGATAATTAGCAACTGAACTTTTTGTACGCTGTAGCAAGGCCTCTTTATACATACCTAGCGAAAGTTATCGAACATTTCATCTTTTATCGCACAATCTCATTCTCTTGTTCGCTTTGTATTAGTATTCGTCATAATTTTACGCAACTGTGACAGAGTTGTTCTTATTTTTACTTTGTTGGCGTGGTTTTGAGGAAATTGCATTTCTGCTAATATGAGTAAGAGTTTTTTACAATTACTGTAGATATTTAAGAACGAAAAGTATTAATACATTAAATTTCAGACTCGTCAACTAAGGTGCATTACGCTCCGCATAAAACCAAATGTAGCGACATAGGTTCTGTATGGTTTCATATTTTGATAGCTGACAACGGTGAGCCTACTGCAAAATGCAAAACTTGTCATAAAGTTTTAAAAACGAATGGAGGTTCTACAAAAGGACTTTTAGTGCATTTACAAGTGAGTGTTCCAAAATTAAACAAACATATTTGTCTCCATGCGAATAGTGTACATCGACAAAAGTTCTTTACCTTTAATTTGGCAGACCCACAACATTAAATTAGGGCGGAAAATAAAAGAAGCAGAAAGAGATTCTCAAACAAAATGCAAGATACCTCACTATTTCTCTGTTAAGAATGAAGATACCTTTATGGCCGTGGTGGCAAGACTGACAGCGCTTGATGGATTGCCATTTTCAAAGTTCATAACATCAGAAGAATTGCGTAAATAACTTAAGGCACGTGGCTTTAACGTACCCAAATCTGCGGAAACCATCAAACAACAAATGTTGGAATTCTTTTTCAAATGTCGTCAAAACGTTGTAGAAGAAATCACGGCCTTGAAAGATATGGGTAAAAAGTTCAGTTTGGTATTCGACGAGTGGACATCAACAGCTAATAAAAGATACCTTAATATCATTCATGGGAAAAACAAATTTTTCAATATTGGCCTTGTTCGGTAGAAAAATTCTGCCACTGCCGCCGCTTGCCTAGATGCTTTAACAGAAAGGCTTAACATGTTTAATTTATCGTTGTCAACCGATATTGTTGCTATTACGACCGATGGTGCAAGTGCCATGGTTAAGCTTGGAAAGAATATTCCACCAACACATCAGCTTTGTTTTGCCCACACAATTCAATTGGCGGTTATCGACGTATTTTACAAGAAACCGATCTTGGATGCCCCAGCTTTAGTTGTGTTCGAGACAGACAGTGATGAGGAGGTTGACTTTTATGATGGAATTGCAGTATGCCAAGACAGGGGATTTTCCGAATTTTCCGAAAATTGTAACATTAAAAGAACAATAGAACAAGTAAGAAAAATTGTCCGTATATTTAGAAAATCGCCTACAAAAACGGATATTCTTCAAAAATATCTTCGTTACGATCACGGAAAAGAACTGAAAGTAATTCTTGACTGTAAAACAAGATGGGGCAGCTTACTTGCTATGCTTGAACGCTTTCTCTTGCTCGAAACTTCTATTAAAAAAGTACTTATTGACCTCAAATTAACCCAGTTAGTGATAATGATTTTAGAGTGATTCGAAGTGTGGTTCAGGTTTTAACAACTTCCCTGTCCAATGAGTCATATGTGACTCACGAGAGCGTGTTGAAATAAGTTCATGAGTCACATGTGACTCATTTTTGTGTACAATTTCGGACAAATTTTTTGGTGTGCACGGTACGCGATATTTTTTTAAATGATACGTGGTGGTACGGCAAAAAACCTAACGTAAAAATATATTAAAGAAAATTTCGAATTTTTTTTCCTGAAAGTTCTCTTTTAGTAAAAAGAAAAAGCGTACAATAAATATAGGTTAGGTTAGGTTAGGTAAGCGGGCTGCCGCATGTGGAGGCACACTTGGACTCGACTAAGCTGTCCGCTGTGATGCCCCCAGAGGGGGGGAAGGGATGCAGGGAGGGGAAAGAGAGAGGAAGCTATGGGAGAAGGACGACACCTATGGCTTTTTGCCGGAGAAACGCTCCGTGCTCACAACGAAGCTCTTCAGTCGACTGATGTCCACTCCCGAGAGCTCATCGGGAGTGTGAAAAAAGTGCGACCCAAGGTGCTTAAACCTTAGGCTCGCAAAGGCGGGGCACCAGAGCAGCAGATGTTGAGATGATTCCACCTTATTATCCTCCATGCAGCATGGTTACTAATCACACAGTGACCAGTATGCACTCCCACCAATAGTGAGAGATGCAGCTTGCTTAGTCTCAAGAGCTCCCCGGACCGCCCCCGGTCCACTCGTGGCCAGAAAGACTTTGCCACCTTGCACTCCAATACCAAGTAGGTATCGAAACAACGATTCGATTAAAAAAAGTAGTTTTTATCGAAACAAAAGTATCGAGTACATACTCGTATTTACCTGTATCGGAACATCCCTAAATGTAACTCAAAAACAACTTTGCTCGATGTGTTCACATGTGACTCATTGAACGTGGCAAAGAAACTGTTTCGTCCTACGTCCATGGGTCACATATGAGTCATAAAATAAAATAACAAAAACAAGTTAAAGCAATATATAACAATTTATAAAAATTATATGTTATGGTATATATGCACGTTCTTTAGCATATTAGAGCAAAAAACCTGTGGACGTAGGGCATTAACAAAATGCATTGTATGAGGACAGGGAAGTTGTTAAAACCAGTCCAAATGACAGTCGAGGCATTATGTCGAAGTGACATGAATTTGTGTAAGGCGGATGTGGCAATGGTGTTTATGTTAAAGGAAATTTCGAAAACGGATTCCGTTTTTAGCAAACAGCTTATAAATGCACTTAAACTTCGCATCGCTGAACGAAGGTACGGTGTTCGACTGTTCTCAATTGTTTAACTAATCCAGCCATGAAATCTGAGCTTGACGAAGAGGATTTTTTCAGGGTTTATGGAATCAAAAATCAAATTTTGGAGCTTATAAAAAAACTAGCTACAGAACCATTTGATAGTGAGTCAGTCAAGGTGTGTTTTATAGACGATAGGGATAGTTCAGGAGAGTGTTTGGAAGCAAAATTAAATAAAACTTTAGAAAGTTGCAGTAGCCCACCAAGATCACAAAAATCCGTAGCCATTCAAGGGTTAGATGACACCCTTACTGGAGAAATCGACTTATTTAGGCACGGGGGTTCGCGTGAAACGTACCTGCAAATGGCATACGACTTTTTACTAACTATTTCGCCAACCAGCGTAGAGTCAGAAAGATGTTTTTCCTCAGCTGGTTACTCTTGCAACAAAATACGATCTAGTCTCGCTGACAATACACTAGATGCTTTAATTTTTTTGAAGTACCATCTTAAGAATTAAAATAGCTCTAATATTTCCAACCCTAGCCACCAAATTAATGTAAACGACACCATCCGTAAATTTTATTCTTTGATGAAGTATTATTTTTTATTTTTTATGCAATTTGTTTTATGCTTTGTTGAATAAAAGTATTTAGAGTGCCAGTTACTGTCGAAATTCGACAGTTTTTCTAGTTTTAGAAGCCTTGGAGAGGTTTACTAACTTAACACGTAGCAATTTTTTTTTATCTGAGAAGGTCTTTGGAGGACTTCGGCAGGACTTCGAATTGACCCGATACATTCAAGTTTATCGATAAATTTCAATGATTTGATACATATCGAAAGTTCGATGAATTTCAAGAACACTAAAATTCGATAACTCAACAAAATTCGTTAACTCGACCATTTCGATAACTGTAAAATTCGATGGCTCGATAAATTTCGATAACTCAAAAATGTAAAAACTTTAGCTGCCTTTATAAATTTTTATTTTTGACATCTCCACATTTTTCGAAAACTATCTAAACATTTTGATAACTCGTTACACTTTGTTAAGGCGATTAAATTCGATAAGCAGTGATATGTCGATAAGCTTATATAACCTTGAAATTTCGATAAATCGATATATTTTAAAAATTCCATAAACTTCGATTCGTTGAACCAACCAATTTCAGTAGATCAATAATTATCGATAACTCTGTAAGTTGAAAGAACTCCATGCATTACGACACCTCGATAAATTTCGTTAAGTCTATAAATAATGATAATTCAATAAATATCGATAACTTGATACCTTTCTTTAACTTGACAAATTTCGTTAATCCCACACGTTTTTATAGCTCGATAACTATCCGTAAATTTGGACAACTAAGTTTCTGTGTCTATAAATTTCGACAACTCAGTAAACATTGATCAGTTGGAATAATTCGATACGTTGCGATAATAAACTTCGATGATTCGATAAATTTCAGTAACCTTTATGGCTGATTTTATTTCGATTCCTATCGGAAAATTTCAACTCTGTTAACCTAATTCTTATGTATTTCTCATTGTCTCAATTTTTGCCTTTATCTCAATTTTCGTCTTTATCTTCACTTTTGCCTTTTTTGTCTTCATCGTTATCACTTGTTTCTTCATCTTCATATTTATCTTTATTTCAAAGTTTAATTTCAAATACGAAGTAAAACAAAATGCGAAACAGCTTAAATTGTACAGGTTGCAAAAACAACCATACACAAATATGGACATTTTTAAAAGACGATTTTCAACCAATTTGGAAACTATAAAAACTCTCCTCATCTACAGAAAATTACCTTTTTTTGGCTTTTAAATCGGTAAATTTACCTTGGTCTTTATCTTTGTTTTTATCTTTCACATCTTTGCTTATATCTTTTTCTTTTTCTATTCACGTAGATGAGATGAGGTGCGATGACGTGATAAGATGTGGCGTGATTTTATGTGATGTGATAGGATGTCATGTCATGTGTTGTCATATCCTCTGATGTCATACCATATGATGTCATATCATGTGATGCCACGTCATGTAATGCCATGTCATGTCATACGATGTCAGATCATGTGATGTCAAGTCATGTGAAGTCATGCCATATAATGTGATGTAATATCATATAATGTCATGTCATGTGATATCGTGTGATGTGATATCATATTATGTGATGTAATATCGTGTGATGTGTTGCCATGTAATGTGATCACATTCCATGTTCCGATTAGTATATCAATAACCCTGTTGATAACTGTGTCGATAAAAATACCGATAACAATATCCATAAAGATAGAAAAATACAACGATTGTAAAATCGATTAATTCATCGATAAATACAACAATCTTCAGTATCGATTATTGTACATATCGTTAGCAATATAAAGGACTAAATCGATAACAAAATCAATTATTTAATCGATTATTATGCCGATAACAATATCCATTATTGTATCGATAACAATATCGATTATTATATTGATTATTATATCGATTGAAATAGCGGTTATTTAATCAATAACAGTATCGATAACAATATCGATTATTTTATCGATAGCAATATCGATTATTATATCGATAAAAATATCGAGTTTTATATCGATAACAATATCGATCTTCATCCTCATCCTTTTCTTCATATTTATCTTTATTTTTGCATATTCCTCTTCACCTTTACCTTAAAGTGTTTAAATTTACTTTGATCTTCGTTTTTGCCTGTACCTCTAGGCATCTTTGTTTTTGTTTTTATTCTCAAACCGCTAAACCGCTGAGAACCATTTCCATGTGCATTATTCCCCTTGAATTTGACAATTTACTCCCAACCAACCAACTGCCGCTAAAGAAGTTTCACTTCATAAATTCAAGAAATGTTTTTACCCTTTTAGTTACCCTAATTCTTATGTATCTGTCTTTTTTTTGACTTCATCGTTATCATTTATTTCTTCATCTTCATATTTATCTTTATTTCAAAGCTTAATTTCAAATGTGTAGTGAAACAACAGGCGAAACATGTCAAATTGAACATCTTGCAGCAACATGTATACACAATTCGAAAATGTTTAAACGACGGTTTTGGCCGTAATTTTCAACCAATTGTGAATTGTGTGTGCTCATCTACGGAAAAATGC